CATTAGTTTTGAAGCATGTGGAAGAATTTCTTTGAAAACAGATGCCTTCTCTTCAATACTACAATTTTCCAATTTCTGCTGTATAAACCGACTCCCATGCTGATCAACGCTGAGGTTAAAGAACCATTAACTTAAGTTCACATCTTCGGGATTATAAAGAAATTTTACTACACAAGATACATGGTAAACATATACCACCTGAATTCAATTACACGACCTGCAATATCAGGGAGGTCAATTCTTCGAGCATTGCTTTGTTTCAGTTCTTCGAGAAATGAATGTCTTTTAGAATCATTAAAGCTACCAGAACCTCTTTGTGCAGGCCATCCAGAACACAATCCAATATTTCTACCCGAAGCAGGGGTAGATTTAATTTCACTCCTTCTACCCATAGGGGATCCTGGCAATACAGGACTACCAAGAGGCGAGGCTGGAAACTGTTGTGCGAATCCCAGGCCTGATGGACTTCCAAAATAACTATTACCAGGAATTATCATTTTTCCAGGACTTGGTAAGTTCAGGCTTCCAATTGGTGGACGATTAAAATTCTGTTCAGCAATATAAGGGAGATTTGGCTCCATATTTGAGGCATAAGCATCAACTTCTAGCCCAACCAAGCCCGATGATGGAAACCGCATATACCGACCAGGAGCAGTGTTTGAATCATCAACAGGGTGATGAAAATACTGCATATGGAAAGGATCTGGGAAAGAAGGATGCACCATTAACCCATGATGCCCATAAAACTTGGTTAAATGTTGCAGATCACCAACTTGTGGAATGTTTTCTCTTGGTGTAACACTTTGACCACTGATGCTTCGTCCAGAACCAGCATTAATATGCACAGATAGACCAGAATGAGATGGATATCCAGCTACAAATGGAGGAAGAGAAGGTGAAGCCAAAGCATATCCCCCTACATTGTAATGAGGGGCATATACACCAGGTGGACTCAAGTTAGAATAGTATGGGTTGCCGGAAGCCATATAGGCTGCAGCTGTTGCATATAGAGGAGGCGTGAGGCCAGAACCTTGAGGAACTGCTTGTACCTCAACTGAGGAGAACCAGCTATGACCATAACCTTTTGCTAGGCTACTCTGTAGTGCATTAGTCCCAAGAATATTTGCTTGAACTTGTGGGCTATTAACTTGGTAAGCTGCGATTCGTTGGGAGTGATACTGCTGCTGCTGTTGCTGTCCTACTCCATTCCTACCATGAAAATATTGTTCATCCTTGTTGTCACTAATCTCTGGAGCTGGAAAGTTCTTTGAAATACCTGATGCTATCCCATCGCTGACTAAGAGCTCATTCACCAGAGGTGCATCATCACTAGCTGATATTTCACCCTTCTGAGGGGAAGGAGACCTCCCAAGACTGTCAACAGAAGATTCTTTTTCAAGAGAAATGGCCAAAGACTGATCGGGGACAGCTATATTATGGTCACCTGAGACATCCGCACAAGCGCCTGCACCTGGTTTATTTGAAAAGTCAACGGACAGACCGTCCAGTTTAATAGATTGAATATCACAATCAGTTGGTTCCTCCACAGCAACATGACATGAGGGCCGAGATTGATTGTAAACTGGTGATGGAGTGCGAGGGAAGTCCTCCTGTGATCAATTAGTCAACAGTATAAGTAGCATGGAACATGAAAGAATAGCACTCCAGAAGTCTAAACGATACTATCTTCTCATTCATTAGCACAATGTACCCACAAGTCGTGGCAACATGCCTAGTATTTCAGGCATAACTAATTAGAGATTAGTGTACCAAGCAATTAGATCATCGCTGTTTCCCAACATCAGCAAGCCACTACAGTATTCATGAGCTGAAGGCCCCACAACTGTAACCATTGTTAAGTTCATATTTTTTTTATTCGTTAAAACACAGACCACCACAGAGAGAATTCAATGTTGTATTCAATGCAAAATTAGAAGAAGATTAAACAAAACTAGCATTCCAACATATGAAGTTTTATGGGCTGGGTATTTATCATAGCTCACCAATCAGTGCGGATACACGCTTAAGAAAAATTAAGTAAAACTTCTTAGATGTTGACAAGCCCGCACATGCAAACACAAACTTGGAAAAAGAAAATAATACACATAATGGGAAAGGTATTCTTAAACTTCAATACCTGGATTAGGTCAACTAAACTTTTATGTTGACCTGCAAAGGAGGCCATGTGCTGTCCTGAAGCACGACTTTGGGCCAGATCGTCTAAAGCACTTCGTGGTAAATTTTCATCTTCAGGCTCCTCATCGTGAGTTGAAAGAGAACTTCTACTCACGTGCAAGGATGCATCCCCACTATTGTCAGAAGAATTTAACTGGCAGCTATCACCCAGATCCGCAAAATGGTGTGCCAAGTGCATGTTCTCCCTTGAAATAATAGGAGGAGGAAGCCTAGGATTCAAGTTGATATTAGAGCTGTAGTAAGCAGAATAGGAGGGATCAGCACGCATCTGCTCTTCAGACTGCCAGTTTTGCATGGCACTGTCTAAGCTTGCCAAACTCAACTTCCGGCCAGAGCTTTGATCATGGACAAGGTTACCAAAGGCTGAAAATGAGCCCTCCATACTTGGAGGCGCACTACCACTACGATTTGGAACCTTATTTCTATTATGCCCATGAATCTTATGACCTTTAAGAAGCAATCCCAGTTCATCAGCTGCCACTTCATTCCCAGGGGACACAAAGGAGACCATGTCCTTGGAAGGAACCCACTTTTCTGTTCTACTGTCTTCGAGTATTCTCATAGGGCTCTCGGTTTCCATCCTCAAGAGTAAGCAAACATATTTTAGCAACAAAAGTTTTCAGATATTTTATCTGAAGCCTTTCATCAATATCACATTAGGAGTTGACTCTAGACACAAAAGATGCTAAGCTGCGATGGCTACATATAATCTCTGGCAACTGCAATGGCAGATTCAGATCATAACCTATAGGGAAATAGAAGAAAATGTTTTTGTCAAAGAAAAAGAACAGGAAAAAATTCACTCTCTCCAAGATTAAATGCAGTGAGATTTGTTATAAACAGGGATGGACAGATATATTTATTTAGGGACCACTAGAGTACACAAACACAAAATTTACTTGCTATATCTAAGTATTCGCTATGTGGTCAGAACTCACAATCTACCCTCCACCAGCCTTACATAGTTAACCTATTAGATAATAGAAAAATAAATGACGGCGCAAGGTTTCCAAACTTCTCAAGAGTGGTCAGCAAGGCTTGAACAACCGTAGTTAGTTTTGAAACTTAAAGCTTTTGTTTTCCATTTTATCCATAAAATTCCATTTTATTCATAAATTTTCATTTTTCTCTTTTAGTGATTTAAAGAACCTGAATGGTTTAATTGCCTAAATAGAAGTGTATTTGGTCTATGATACCCGGAATAATTGTGAAACTTTATTTTGCATATTAATGTCCAATCCCTTAAAACATTACCAAAATGCATAATTCCCATTAGAAACCGCACAAAAGTTCCTGCTTGTAAGACGCTATCCCAAATTACTACGCTCCGCGATGATACCGTATCAGCAGGATATTTGGCACCCAAAAGGGAAACTACGTGAGTAAATAGCTAAAAGACACAATTTGGACAAAATATCAACAACAAAAAAGCGACTATAAGTCACCCAAAGGTGAATTAAAAAAAAATCAAAAGATAATTGAAAAACAGCTATTTCAATAAAGCAAAAACCTTTAGACCCAACGGCTCTGGTAGAATCGCATGCTAACCCTGATTGGAAGAAAGAAGACAGGGCAGGGGAGAGAGAGAGTACAACAAAAACAAGGAGTAGAGTGAGTCAAACTGTAACATAAGAACCCTAGTAAACTAACACATGTGTAGAGTAGAGTGTAAGTGAAGTGATTACAGACCTGCAGGAGCTGCTAACCGACCACAAGGAGGGAGTCTGCTACAAAACTTCCCGACGGTGTGTGATGATCAATTCCAGAGGCAGCGCAGAGCTATACTTAGAGGAGAGAGAAAGAAGGAAGAAGAATTGAAGAGTTTTCTTGTTTGTTTAAATTTAGATTACAAATGTCGCTTGTAAAACCCCACCACGGGGTTTGAAAAATCCTCTCTTGCTCTATTCTTTCACTATTTTTCTCTTTCTTCTTTATTTATACGTACCAATTTGTCCAAAATGAAACTAAATGACGTTTATACCCTTTTTATAAGACTTAGTACTTTTTCTAATAGTAATTATAATTCCGCATACACAGTCACGATTTAAATTTAATGTGCTCTTCATCAATGTTTTAAAATGCGGGTGCGTGAGGCGAGGCGTTTTACCTCTAATGGGGTAAGACGTAAGCCCTGAGACATGAGGCGTAAGTCCCACGGATCTTTAAATTTTACTAATTTCAAGAATTTAAAGTAGTATAAAATTAAAATTAATTTTAAAAATTAGATTAAAATCACAAAATTATAACAAACAATTTATTTAAAATATTTATAAATTATAATTCAACAATGAATAATACGAAAAGTATGACATATATTATAATATGCAAATCAGTTGCATCATCGTTACAACTCAAACATCAAAAGTAATGTATTCGATGCGAAATCATATATTTATCTCTTAAGGAGTAATGAATCTTGAAAGAATTTCGATATTTTAATTTGATTTTTTTTAAATACTCTTTTTATTTAATATGCTTTCTATTTGAAAGAGAATTTATATAAAAACATAATTCACAATTTAAATATAATTCTCTAGCATCATTTTTTTAAGTTTCAACAAGTTAATAAAGTGACACATAATTTACCATACTATACCATGATAACTAATTATTTGTATATAGTTACTAGCTAATACTGGGCTATTAAATTAATAAGTATTATATCTCGTAAACGTGAAATAAATAATATTTGAAAAAATAATTATAAAAGAAATTATGGATTATTATATAATAAAGACATAACAAAAGTTAATAAATAAATACTTTTAAATGAAGGATGTATTTAAAATTTATTATCATAACAACCTTAATGGATGACGTGCACTAACTTTTATTTTAATTATGATATAAAATACTCTCAACTTAATGATTAATGATTAAGAAAAAAGTAATTTTGAATAGTCAACAATTTATTAAGAAAATTTGCGGATTTACAAGGTTAGTTACGCACAATTGCATAAAGTTCTATTAGGCGAGCCCAGTACACTAGGAGTTGGGCGTGTCCAGGGCTCAAGCCCCGACGGTCGAGGCGTAAGTCTCACGGAACTAAGTCTCACCCATAAGTCCAGGGGCGTTTTACGAGTGCTCTGCCTCGGGCGAGCCCCGAGCGAGTCCCAATTCTGTCTTTTAAAACAGAGATCTTCATTATATTTATAGGTTCAAATCTCATATTTATTTTAGTAAGTTTTATACTTTTATAGTATATATATATATATATNGCACACCTTAAACTATCTTCTAGGAGACACCTTGACGCCGAATCATTTCTACATAGACAAAAAAAAATGTTGCCGCGAAGCTAATCCATAATCTTTGCTTTTTATAATTTTTAAATGAAATAGAGAATCATTAGATAACATAGTTGAATGATGTTAGTGTTTTTTTTCCCCAACACACACTTCCTTTAGTTTAACTTAACCTAAAACATAAAAAGACAATTTACTTTCAACACCGTTGGTTGGTATATGACAAATTCGATGTCGTACATTTTATCATAAAAAAGAGGAATTTTAATACTATTCATATATCATAATTCATAGCAACACGTGGTCAAATGTATGACTTACAAGAGATACAAATAGAACATTCTTCACTTACATTATTTTACACTCAAGAGATATTGAACTCTACAACACCACTGGTAAGGCCCAAATTTTGATGATTTCTCAGTGAGGTAGATGGTTTGGTTAACTGCTTGCAATAAAATATCCATCTAATATTATCATGTTTTTGTTAGACTATAAAATATGGCTTTGTTTTAATCGAGTATGGACCAAGTTGATGGTCTACATTTGCTAACTTTTCATTGTGTGTGCTACAATATTCACGAACAATGCAATAATGCAATAACTACGTGTGTTTTCCCGTTATCTAGAGTCTTTGAACTTGTCTATATATTATTAGTTTTTTTTGTGAGGGGGGAAATCCGCAGCCGCTACAACCTCTGCCACAGCCTTTGCCCTTCGGGTGACCACTTTGTGCGCACTGGATAAACCTCCCATGTGTAATAGCCTGCAAACCACACAGGGGATGTAAATCGCACTAGGCAAACCCTGTGCGACATACTCAATCCAGAAGGCATTGAAGGGGGAATCAATATGGATGACCGCCCTCCAAGCCAACTGGGCAACCCCGAAAGGTATGTATGTATAGTTAATATCCAATATCTAAAATCTTTTACTAAAGAAATTACAACCGTTGGATGAAAATATTGCTTGCTACGATAAAATATATATATATATATATATATATATATATATATATTAATAGCTTTAATATTTACTCCTATTAGGAAAGCTGCAATAGGTTTGTAATAAATGAAGTATTATCACAATTGACTAATCAAACTCAAGTTACTCATTCTCATGTGCATTCCATGAAAAGATGTAGGTTGAAAGCACATTCATTTCGAACATAAACCTTTACAATATGCATTTATAATTCATAGTCTTGTCACTCCGTCATGTTCTATTTACATGTGTTGCAAGATTACATATTACGAATCAGGAACAGAATAGACGCTTGCACTATCTGCAATTAGTCTTAAGCATGTCCAGGGAGGACCCCCTTTTTTTTTCTTTTTTATTTGTGTGCAGTAGACTTGCATTCTGTACACACTTGTAAGTGTATGCTGCAAAGCTAGTAACCCAACCATGCAGATGGTATAGGTTGAAACTTTTGCTTGGCACATGCCAAAAGATCACAGTACTCCACATGATTCAGGCAGTCACGGAAGTCTGTGAAAAGCCTTTCAAACACTCGAGATTGGATTTTATAAGACCTTGAGTATGGGAAAGGTAAGATCACCTGCAAAAATATTGAAGGACAGACAAAGCACTATGTTACTAAAGAAAGCATGAAAATTGTCTGAACTATAAAGTAAGATAATTGCATCAAAAGACTCGAGAATAAGGTGGAAATCTTTCACATGCTCTATTTGTTTTGACGCTCTCACTGCCATCTTTAATACTTATTTGGATAGTTAGCCTCTTATAATCAAGCTCCTACCACATAACAAAACTTAGCAGATTAAACAACATACAACTTTTTTTGTTTTTTTAAGTATAAAACAACACAAAGATCTATCACTACAGGTTGATTAAACAACTATCGAACACAAGCACACATCAAGAACACTGATTTGCAGACACTCCAACCCCCTCTTTTGACCTTCAGAAAGATGATGCTCATAACAAGACCATCAATACAGGACACACACAGTGATTATCAGAGGTACAACAAAGAGTAGAAGATTTTGTGATTTTGCTTACATCCCCTTCTGATGCAAGACGCTTCAGTAAATCAAATGTTTGTTCATTCTCTTCCAAGTTGTCAATCACAGCCAGCCATATTATTGAAGCAAGCTCATGAGCCATGTCCCTCGACTTACCACAGGCAATGAACTGATCTGGAGAAACAAAAAGATAAAGCAAGATTATAGGGTTGAGAAGGAAAAGTTAAATAATGGGTTAATACCAGGATACTATGAGTGTAGAGAGCGTCAAACACTAAATAGATCCACGCTTAATTCCAATCGATGGGGCCATATCAAAGTTAGTTTCTGACTTGACACCTGTAATATAGACATGCGGTGCATCTACACAGAAGAACAGCACAACCAAACATGGTCTTCTGAGTCTATACAAGTACAAATTAAAAAAATGTTCCTTCTCCAAATACTCCTCAAGGGATTGTGATATCAAAGCCACTTCATGAGCTTGTTTGCCCTGGATTTTTGAACTGATGTCAGATCTCACTGGAAGATCTCATGTATGTTGCATAATTTCTTTTTTATAAGTGTCTGCTGCATAACTTCATATTTCTGTTTCAGAATGACAGATAAGCCATAAAAGAGGTAAATTTAACTAAAAAGGTAAGAAATAACGCCTAAATAGATTATGGCATGATCCGTAGTTTCTCCATTGCGTCACTTTTCCTGCTCAAAGGTACGCTATCTAATTTTTTGATGAAGTAATATGTTTCATTAAGAAGGCATCAAGAAGATGCAAAGTTACAAGAGGCACGCTATCTAATTTCCGAGTATTCCTTCACAAGCTAAAGCAGTGGTACAGCTTCATTGTCGGGCTAGCCATAGTAATCTGCAAGGCAGCCGACAAGCTGATATTCTATACGTAATAGCATTAATCAGTTAAAGCCGTAACTATTCAAGCAAGTAGCTCCTTCTGGGCTCTGATGCACATAGTTTCTTCCAATCTCACTAGTTCCACAAGAATATAGCACAATCATATTGTTGTTCCAATGACCCCTTCTCCGCCTTTTATTTTATATTCATTCTGAAGGATATTTTGGAACAGTCTGAATGGCTGTAGCGGCTCCTTTTTTTTTAGGTAATTAACATTTTATTAATCACCGATAATCTTTACATTTCATAGCCTGCTTTATAACTCAGCAGCTATATCTATCAAAACTCAAAAAACAATTTCATCCTACATACTATATCTAATGAAATATAAAATGTTGCACTAAGCTACTAATTCCTTTGGTAGCTCACATGACATATCATGACATATGTAGGCTATTTCTCTAGCTATGCTATCAACACTTCTGCTTCTCTATTGAAATATTCTCATGTTCCTTTCAATCCAGACACCATGGGTAACCTCTGCATACACCATTCTGTACAATAGTGCTCCATAGGATCTGCCCTCAGCTCTCTGTGTTATCCATTCTTGATGTTGCCCCCAGTTATCTCCAACTACTTCTTGCCTTTGCATCCATTGTAGTACCTTTTGCCACACTGCCTTAGTAAAGGAGCAGTTCACAAACAGATGATCTCTAGTTTCATCATGCAGCTGACATAGGGAATAGTTTGGATCCACATTGACTCCCCATTTAATCAATATATCTGCAGTTAGAAGCTTACCCTGCAACTGTAGCCACATTGTGAATACTCCCTCCGTTTCAATTTATGTGAACCCATTTGACTGGGCACGGAGTTTAAGAAAAGAGAGAAGATTTTTGAACTTGTGGTGTAAAATGAGGCACATATATTTTGTGTGGCTATAAATCATTGCACAAAAGTAAATTGTTTCCAAATAAGGAAAGGGGTCATTCTTTTTGACACGGACCAAAAAGGAAATAGGTTCACATAAATTGAAACGGAGGGAGTATAACTTTTGGTCTAGCTTTGTTTTTGAACATCATAGACCTCCAAGCAACTCTAGGCCTATTTCCCAGCAACTGAATGTAGAACTGGCTAATCATGCTTTTTTTGACCTGCTGCCTATGTTGAATTTGTTGTAGAACTGTTCTGGCACTTAGAATCTGTCTCACCATCCAGCTTGCCTGTTGTGGGATTGCCATGTCTTCTAGCCTCTTATCTTTGATGTAGTATGCTTGAATCCATCTTATCCATAATCTATCTTGCTTGCTTGCTATATCCCAGCACAGTTTTGCTATAGCAGCCCTGTTCCACACTTGTAGATTAATCAAACCATAGCCCCCACTTGACTTAGGTGTACACATCCTATCCCAAGCCACCAGGGACTTCTTTGTGATGGTGTTGATCCGAGACCAAATATAACTTCTGCAGTAAGCCTCTATCATCTTCATAACTTTCACTAGTAAGTTGAATAGCTGTGACCAATATGATTGGATACCAAATAAGATAGTTTGAACCAGTTGCACTCATCCAGCATAAGAGAGCTTTTTGGTAGTCCATGAGGAAATCTTTGCGACTATCTTCTCTATTAAAGGATGCCACTGTATCAGGGACAGTTTCTTGGTAGCAAGAGGAATACCAAGATATTTAAATGGTAACTCTCCTATTGTGTAGCCCAACTTCTGAATAATTTCCACCTTGGTACTCTGTTGTACTCCTCCAAAATACACTGAGCTCTTCTTCAAATTTGCCTGTAAGCCAGATACTTGAGAGAAATGGTTGAAACATTCTTGAATATGAGATACAGAATTGAGATCATCCCTGGCAAATATCAAGAGATCATCTGCATAGCTTAGGTGGGTAATCCCTAACTTTGCACACCTTGGATGAAACTTAAAGTTTTTCACCTCCTTTAATTTGTTGAGGCTTCTACTGAGATATTCCATTACAATTGCAAACAAGAAAGGGGAAATGGGATCACCTTGTCTTAGGCCTTTGGCAGCATCAAAAGGTGAAGTAGTCTCTCCATTAACCATAACAGTGTAGTTGACAGTTGCTACACATTCCATTATCCAGTTCACAAATCTTTCTGGGAATCTCATTTCAATCATGACTTGCTCTAAGAAACTCCATTCAACTGAATCATAGGCTTTTTGAAGGCCAATCTTGATCATGCATCTGGCAGAAATATTCTTCCTTGTGTAAGCTTTGACTATCTCATGAGCTAATATAATGTTGTCTGCTATCCTCCTTCCAGGTATGAAACCAGTTTGAGCTTCACTTATCACTGATGCTATCACTTGTTGGATTCTGCCAGCTAGGACTTTAGAGATTAATTTGTACAACATGGTGTAACAAGCAATAGGTCTGTAATCTTTTATTGTACTAGGATTGAACATTTTAGGGACCAATGTGATAGAAGTACAATTCACTGCTTTATACAATTCCCAGTACTGAAGAACTCTTTAACAGCTTGACCGACTTCACTTTTGATAATCACTCATGCCTTCTTGAAGAAATAAGCATTGTAGCCATCAATTCCTGGCGCTTTGTCACTATCAATAGCACATAATCCATTATAGATCTCTTTGTCAGTCACCTCAACACATAGAGCAAGTTTCTGCAGTTGTGATAGTTTGGCCCATTCTTCATGATCATTTTGTCTATGGCAGGTAGAGATTGAGTTGTTGATCCCATTAGAGATTGATAGAAATCTACCACTTCCTGCTTTATGCTGTCAGGATGGATAAGTTTATCTCCCATGATTGATACAAGTTCATTTACTTGTTTTCTCTGACTTCTTTCCTTCATAACAGCTGCAAAATACTTTGTATTAGAGTCTCCCAGTTTGATCCACTTAGTTTTTGCTTTCTGCCTTAATACACTTTCTTCAATAAGGGACCATTTTTCTAAGTTCTGCAACAGGCTTTTCTCTTCTTCAATCAGAGTGTCATTACAAGCTGTATTTATCTTCTACTGCACCTCCTCTAAGTTTGTTCTAGCTTGTTTAATCTTCATACTAATGGTTCTATAATGCTCAGTGTTGAGGATCCTGAACAAAGGCCTTAACCTCTTCAGTTTTACCCAAATGTTCTTCATTTTGCCCTCAGTGAAAGATTGATTCCAGATTCTTTCTACAATGGATATAAAGCTTTCATGATCTGCCCAGACATTAAAGAATCTAAAAGGTGTTTTACCAGGTTTGGGAGCTGAGTGAAGAGTTAATAACATTGGACTATGATCAGATATGTATGGCAATCCATATTCAGTAGCCACATGACCCCGCTGCATCATCCACTCATAATTGCCAAAAGCTCTGTCAATCCTGCTGCTGATCCTTTCTACACCATGCTGCTTGTTAGACCATGTGTAATAACCACCTGTCCATGCTAGTTCATTCAGAGTTAGATTAGCTACACAATCAGCAAAGTCCTGTACTTCTGTATATGTAATGGGGTTGCCCATAAGCCTGTCATTAGTATATAGGACTGCATTGAAATCTCCACATAGCAACTATGGTTTTGTGTTTCCAGCTGCAATGTCCTTCAAACCACTCCATAATTGCTTCCTTTGCTCAATGGTATTGTAACCATATATAGCTGTAACTACACAATCAATTATTCCCACCCTATCTTGTACCAAACAGTGTATGAATTGAGCTGCAACACTTAGGATAGTAACATTATACCACTGAGAATCCCAAGTAAACCATATCCTCCCATTTGAAGCAACCTGATAGTTGGTAGCATAGCTCCAACCTGGCAGTATACTTGATATGATTTTACTAGCATTATATTCCTTAACTCTTGTTTCCACTATGATTGCTAGCTTTATTCTTTGGCTACTAATATATATTTTTAACTCTTTTTGTTTATACCTCTTATTCACCCCTCTAATATTCCAAAATATCCACTTCATCAACGAGTTAGTCTATCTCTACCCTTAGCGGGAGGTACACTACTAGTACACCATGATCCCTTATTCAATGGTCCAAAAGAATTCCTCATACCAATGGCTGATAGAGATGGAAAGTTTGTCATATCCAGTTCAAACTTGTTACATGCTGGACATTTGCCTGGACATTTGCCTGATCCACCATTGGCTGAATATTCTCCTTGTCTACAGCTTCTCTTTGACCGAGTATCTGTGATTCCCTCTACTGTAGGCTAGTCTCCCCTGCTTGACTAACCACTTCTTTCACTGGGCCTTTGATTCTCCATTCCATTGTTACTTTCTTTGCTTCTCTTCTTTTGCCTTGTTGTTTATCTTGTTGCTTGTATTGTTGTTGTTCCACACCACATCTATGTCCAACCACTAAGCATTTTTGGCAAAATTCTGGTTTCCAGTCATACCTAACATCTTGTAGGAATGTCTTTCCATTAGGGTCCATTATCTTTATCTCAATAGACAATTCTCTGGTAATATTTACTTCTATCAGCATCCTTGCAAATGATACTCTCTTTTTCTTTGCAGTACATTCATCTGCATAGATTGGAGTACCTATTGCACTAGCCATTCTACTCAAAGAGTTATGACCCCAACAATTCATTGGAAGATTAGGAAATTGTACCCATAAGGGAATTTCGGTGGGAAATTCCTCCTTGAAATCAAATTCCGGTGTCCACTGCTTCAATATGATAGGTCTATTGTTGAATGAGTAAGGTCCAGAATAGAGAATTTCTTTCATATCATCAATAGTTTGGAATTTGATGATATAGTACCCTTCCTCATGTAGATATAGATCCGGCTCCACCACATTTGCCCAATTTATCCCAATGAACCTTTTCATAGCATTATAACCTGGAGAATCCCCAATTATATATGCTATTACCGCACTCATCCACTTCTCTGTTTCCAGATATACCTCCTTTTTGTCTAATTGAACCACAACTTGGCCATCTATAATTTGTGGTGGTATGTAAGTTAAGGACATACCACTTTCCGCTGCTCGATTCCCCCGAAACAGATTTGTCCATGCTTTGCCTTGCTTATTAGTTGCTTCCTTAGGCTGATTATTCTCCATTGGCATCACTTCACTAGCTGCATGTACTGATGTCACTGTTCCATTGCTTGAGCTAGGAATCTCCTTATTTGCATGTTGGATCTGCGCCTCTTTAGAGCTACTAGCTGTCACCGGAGTACTCAGAGCAAGCCTCTTCTTCACTTTTGTACCCATCGACGAAGATTCAGCTTCACAACTTGTACCTTGTTCTACCTCTGGTGTAGCTACTTTGTCCTATAAAATTTCTTCAGCTTGAATTCGAATTCCCAAAGAGCTACCATAGATAGCTATGGGGTTCTTCCTGGGCCTTCCTCGACCTCGTCCGCGTCCCTTACCTCTGCCATTCGCCATGGAAACACCAAACAACGCACGTTAACTATCGTGCACCGAGAGCATGAGCGAAGTTTGTTTTTTAGCGGCTCCTTCCAATGTAGCAATATTGTACATTGGTTTGGTTTTAGCCAAGGGTTTATTTAATTCTTTTCCGAGGTTTCTACACAGTGCATGGATAATTGTGAGATGTAGAGAACCTCTACTAATTAAAAAAAACCTTACTCCTAAAAGATATATTGTTGAGTATTAGAATGACACAGGTTCAAATGGACAGAATTGATAAAGAGAATTACTGTAGCCGACTTCAACATATTCTGAGCTAACTTTTCTCAGACCGGTATATAAATTCAAAGCACATGAAATAAAGCAGGCGCTACCACCCCATCTTAGATCTGTTCAAAATCCAGAGAGGATACCTGATATTGTATCTCTTTCCAAATATCCCCACTCTTAATAAGAGAAAATGAAGTCAAATGATATCAAGGAGAACTCAACGTCCAGAGTTTGGAAGTTTCGAGCTCAATAGAGAAGAGGCATTAAATCTCTACCAGCAAAGACATGTGCCTAATCGGTTGGGCATTATGCTGCCCAACTCAAAGCTCAAGTAAAGCCAAGGAAACTTAAGACACACTTCAAAGAAACCTACCATCTGAAGTTGCTATGTACTTAAGTCTTGATTAGACTGATAATACCTGCACCTTACTTCATTGGTTTGAGATGAAATATTAAGATTTCCTGCAATTATCAGCTTAAGGACTGTGCTCTCTATTATATACAGAAGCAGATAACAGAGTAAATGATGCAACTCGGAACTTGGCACGTTTTTTTAAGTAGCGGACGCCGTAGTCTTCATGGTGGTAACTGCAATGGCCTTTCACCAAATGAAGATTAGGAAGCTTTTTGTATCTTCTTTATCCATTTACCTTTGCCTCAACTTTATACATCAGTGGTGTAACCCACCATGTTTCAGAAACAATTTATTTTGTACTTCAAATTTTGATGATATGTTAACCTTCTATTAGCTTTATTCTGTTGTGAAAACATCAAAAAATAATACCTAGTGCAGAGTCCTACCGGTTTTCGAACTAAAGACATTGGTGTGACCTATCAAGGCTGAGTCTTTTTGCTATTATTCTTTCGTGCAACGGTTCTTAACATTTCCCTTGCCGGAAAAGGATTATGCTGATTTTCTACCTAGTTCCTTTTCCCACTAATATAACCTTTTGGCAATAAAGTATCTTGTTTATGAATGAGAAAAAAACAACAGAGAACATGATTTCCTTTGCACATGGAAGTGCTAAAGCTTTCAGGAAATAAGAAAGCCAGGCCAAGATTGTCATACTGAAATCCTCACATCTGAAGTATCTCTTTGGATCTCTTAATATAAGAAACAGCAAGAGGTCCATCAAAAGAAAAGAGGAATAGCAGAAATGTAGGTCATTAATGAGACTGTACCTATGATGGTTCCATGAAGTACTCCAGACAAAGGTGGCATTTTCGAAATTTCAAGCTGCTCTTTGAGAAATAAATAGACATGACCAACAATCTCGTCGTCCACTTCTTCACCCAGAGCAAAGATATGCTTGCTGAGATACAGTGCAGCATATCTCCTGAAACAAGGTAATGGCACTAGGATGTCACTCATAGAGAAAACATGAAACAAGAATTGGAAAATTTTGATATGACAAATCAAACATGAAGTCAAATTAACTATTAACCTTAAGATGCTCTAAAATAAGCTTTTTTCTTCAATCTTATTCATTTTAGAGTGCAGACCAATGTCACTGTCTGTTCTCTCAGAATATAAAGGAAGTATATCTAACTTCAAAGCTTACATTCTTTTGATGACGAACTTCAAAGCTTTCATAAACATAATTCTTTTCATCATATCTAACTTCATACAGTCATATGCTTTTTTTAACAGTCTAGTGCCTATCTTATCATAAACCAAAAAGACTATTCCAGGAATATAGTGATGCAAAGACAATCCATAGTGACATGTTTTATCCAGAATGGGTGAAACTTTTGCTTTTGAATATATCTGGAATATTTTTAAGATAAAGTCCAAACTCTTTTCTCCCTCCACATTGTCATGCTTTGACTTTGGAAAGTAAGAATTGAAAATTAAGGCATTGAAGAAGAGGACATTCTGAATTGTAAATAGGGGTGCACTAAACTTTCTAACTGAAACAGTGACATCATTTTAGCATGAACTCAAAATGCAAGAGAGACATTCCATATGGAAACTAGGAGCACCAAACAACTAAAATTGAATTGAATGAAATGGCGGTAATATCATGAGATGTCTTTAAGTTTCAAACGCCAATTAATGAAAATTTTCAGTAATTTGTTTCCCTGCCTGCACAATAAAAGAGTGTACATCAGCTATTTCCATCTACCTTTTGCTCAAGCCTTGAGGAATAGGCCCTGGCCATCTCTTAACGTGGCGAGCTAGAGGAAAAGTTCTGAGAAGAGCAGCATTCCACAAGAACTCTTGCCGAAACAGATGAGCCCAATGTTTCTTAACACAAGACAAATGTCCCCATTCAGATATAGGAACGCAAATGAAAATTTCTATAAGCAGATGATCTGGAAGCTTCCCAAAAGCACAATCAGCGGAAGACAGAGAGACACGGTTCCCTTCGTTTGACATCGGGACAAGAAAACCACACTATGTATATGCATCACCAAATGAAGAAGAATTGGTTCTGAGTAAAGAGAATAAACAAGTCAAAGGTGAAAAGAACAATGACAAGCCAACTTGGAGTTTCCAGGAAATTACCATAACTTGAACAATAAATTCCACAAATTGAGGTTAGTAAAGCACAGGTATCTACACCACCATGATCGACGATACTAATTCTAGCATTATCTGACGCATAAGAAATCCATTTTTAGCTTTTCAGAATAATCAGGCAATGGAATGGTGATGGAGCAATAATCTCCACGCCGATTAGGAGGAAGGAATTTGTACTTTTTTGACATTTAAAGACTGAAAACCCAAGTTAGTTAAAAGAGCGGAAGAAACTGATTCTACGGAACAGAGCGGAACCGCAAGAGCTAAAAAGGGGAACATACCGATTAAGAGTTGACCCCTTTGCAACGCAGCTGCTCTCTCTCTCGGCAGCTTGTGTAGCTTGAGCTCCCACTGCGCTAGGGACTGACAATACAGAAAACGAGAGACGAGAGGATCGATATGCCCTTTCTGTACCGATGATGATACCTTTACTCTCTTTTGCCATTCATTTCCGTCCTAAGATCATTTCTCTCTTAACCTCTCTCTTCGACTCCCACACTTCTTTTCTTTTTGACTGTACCTCTGACCGTTTGACTAGACGATAATACATCAAACTTATCACTTTTAATAATATCGAGAAAATTTCCAAATTAGTCCCCTAAGTTTGTCATATTATTATTATTCTTATATTATTGCTACTACTACTGCTACTTCCTATCCATATATATATAAAAAAAAATATCGGAGTAATATATATATATATATATATATATATATATATATATCTTAAAATACGTGTATTGCACGTGTATTTCATATTAATGAATATAAATTTTTATAAAGATTATATAGATATTATTTGCAAAATTATCTAAATTATTAAATAAAATTTTGAAAATCCAAATACCTGAAACAATGATAAACATTAATCACATTTATCTAACTCAATAAGAGAAGATTTCTTTATTGACACTATGAAAAACTACGAAACTCTATGACAATACTTTTGGAAAGTGTTTTATTAACATTTTCCTAAAAAAAAGAATAGTTTGAAATACCTAATATTTTTAACATTACCCACATTAAATCTTTTAAAACTTTAGCTAATTAAAAAATAATTGTGAGCTCTTGAGTTTTGCCTTAAGTTTTTCATCTCTTGGTATCTTAAAGTTGAAGACTTCTAATGTCACCTGGATTATTGTTATTCTAGTTGAACTAAAAATTTCTAAAATCACGTATTCTTGTGAAAATTAACTTAGTCAACTTATATAAATAACCATGAGTATTAGGAGTTCGTATATAGATCAAATAAGAAAACAATTTAATAATAAAAATTTTAGTTAATTTTAATATCCTAAATATTAAATAAAAAAATTAAATGCTAATTTTATCCAATGTAAAATTTATTTTTAGATGTTAAAAAGGTCGATTAATTTTGCATTGAAGTTTCGTACTTTTATTATTACATTTCGCGTTTTCACACGGTAAAGTTTCGTCGTAAGTTAATCGACGTATACTCGGGGATGAGATTATTTTTGAGGTTATAAGTATTTATGCTATTTATAACGGGTGATAAGTAAGTACCATGAAGGTTAGAGGGTAAACAAATCAAAGAATATGAGTTTCATTGAAGATTGTCAATTTGGGATAGAATACGATTCAAGCTATAATACCCTGTGTTTATGGATTAGTGTCATACAATGTACTTACATAACCATGATAGTAAGGTGTATAAAGTATGTTAAAAGTGATTAGTATTTTAAGTATATTAATATATTACCTAATTATGTTAATAATGGGTCAATTGTTAATTTGGGTGGGAAGTTAACAGATCAATTGGAAATTGGTGGATAAGTTTGGTGGAAACATTACCCCAACGTGGCAGCAAGGGGTTTAATTACTAAGACCAAACAATGACTTTTTAGCTACGTGGCTAGTTGGCATATTTAGGGATTTTGGCAAAATAATCCTTACAAAAGTGGGGCCCACAACCCACAATTATAAGAGATCTTCTTATATTATTAAGTGGGATGTGTATGTTGCTAAGTAACAGATGAAGTCTCAAAAAGGAATTCATATGAAATTGCATAATACCATAGCAGCATGAGATTGCGATTCTAAGGGAGTACGGTAGAATCTTTCTCAAGAATATTATACGGATTTTTCCCTACTTCGATCTGATGTTACGTGTTTTATCGCGATTGACGTGTGTTAGAAGGATTGTCAAGAGAATCAGCTCAGATATGTTAATGATATCCTTTAGTTCCTTTTGGCATGATCCATATGATACAAATGAAACAAGCAAATGCACAACTTTCATAAATGTCTTTATTCATAGAAGCACTAGGGGTGCATATGTTCTTGAATTCTCACGTGTTTTATTATTATATCTTTTGTTCATGGGTATCAGAAAAATACGTAGTTGATAAAGTTTATCCAAAGGCATATTGTTCTCATGACATTCCGAGAAATCTTATTAACTTATTATGTATTTCATTCATTTATACATGTACATTGACCCATGACCAGATGGCGTTATATACACGTATATTATATGTATGGGATATGGGAAAAGTTTACGGCGTTATATACGCACCACCACCTGATCAGTTGGTATACCTTGATGATTTCGCCCACAGAGACCGAGATGATATGATGGGATGCACTTAGAGGCTTAATGAGGTTATGTACGCATATACCCATGCATGATAAGACATATATATGCATATACATGACATTATAAATGTCTCATGATTCACAAAGCTATTCAGATTTACAGGTTGAGTCTTTTACTTCATGTTTCTTTTATGTTTTTTACATACTACTTTCCTTGCCTTACATACTCGGTACATTATTTATATTGACGCTCTTATTTCTTGGGGCCTGCATTTTATGCCTGCATGTGCAGGTAGACAGGCTGACAGTCCCCCTTCTTAGGATCCTTGATCAGCGAGAGTTGGTGTGCGCCACTTGATCCGGAGGTGTTATTGATTTTGGTACGCTATTTTTGTATGTAGATATGGGTATGACGGGTCCAAGTCCCGCCCTTTATACAGTTGTACACTCTATTAGAGGTCTGTAGACAGTCATGTATAATTGGATAGTATGTGGCTTTGTCGACTTCTAACGTTGGATATATAGTTGTCTATAGCAGCCTTATTGGCTCGCCCTACCGTATTCCGCATGTATATGTATATGTCTTTTGGGCATGTTTTCACCACGTATGTTATTCACATGATTCAATAGTTTATTAACAGATGTTATATATGACTTACCCTTAATTCATGTTTATATCTTTGACGCATGCTTAGGGGTGTTCGACAGGTAAGACTGGGGCACTCATCATGGCCCATTGGTTTGGGTCGTGACAAAAGTGGTATCAGAGTAGTTCTGTCCTAGGGTTGTCTAGTAGAGTCTGGTTTATGAGTGTGTTGTGCACCACATTTATAAACAGGAGGCTACAGGACATATATGATGTTATCCTTCCTTCTTATCTTTGATCATGCGATATAAAGATTTATTTTCCTAACAATATGTTATGTTTTCAGCGATGCCTCGAATACTACAGTCGCCCAGAAGGGCAAGTCCGTGGCTGATGAGAATACTAGTCAAGCGCCACGAGTTACCAGGGCCTGGGCGGGTCTCATAGTGAGATTTCATCTCAGTCTTCACATACCCCGCCCTCTCTAGAGGAGCTCCGAAGGGCACCAGTTCTTGTGCCTGCCCCTGTTTATCCATTCCTCAGCAAGATGCACCAAGTCAGGAAATGAGAGATGTTATTCAACTATTGACCCGATTAATAGCCGCACAGGCTCGGCTTCCGGAGGTAGGTATTGGTCATGTAGATAGGTCTATCAGTGCGAGGGTTCGTGATTTCATTAATTTAGAACCTCCGGTATTCACTGAAGCAGATCCAAATGAGGACCCTCAAGTATTTATCGATAGGATGTAGAGGACTTTGAGGGTAATGAAGGCCACTGCGACTGAGTCAGTTAAGCTAGCTTCCTATAAACTTCAGGATGTTGCAGTTAATTGGTACAAGTCTTGGGAGTTGTCCAAAAGTGAGGATTCAGTATGTTAGGAGTTTACAGAGGTTTTTCTTCGTCATTATCTGCCAGCAGAACTTAGACGGGCCAGAGTTGATAGGTTCTTGACCCTTCGGCAGGGTAATATGAGTGTTCGGGAGTGCAACCTTCTGTTTGATTCGTTAGCTAGGTATGCTCCCGCTATTGTAGTTAAGATGGAGGATCGGGTTTATCGGTCCGTGATGGGGTTGGAGTCGCACCGACTTAACGACTGTATGTCGGTCTCACTTCAGTTAGGCATGGATATTTCTCGTATGAAGGCATACGCTCAGGGTGTAGAGGAGTGTAAGCAGAAGCAGAGGGCCGATCGTGAGCATGGTAGGGGCCATAGTAAGAGAGCGAGATCTTTGGGTCCTTCTGGTGAGTTTTGAGGTGGTTAGAGACAATAATACCCGAGGTATCCATCCCAGCCATCGGCTAGCGCACCCCCTCAGTTTGCCGGTAGGAGATTTGATCGTTCCACATATTCGGGGCCTGGTCAGAATTCCAGGGCCTCAAGTTCTCAGTATAGAGATGAGTCAAGTCAGATGAGGCTGCCCTTGCCACGGTGTGCTCAGTGTGGTAAGCAGCATGCGGGCAGTGCCTTATGCGATTGGATGTTTGTTATACTTGTGGTTATCCAGGCCACATTATGAGAGATTATCCGACGAGAGGTAGTGCAGGTATAGTTCAGCCAGCGGGATCTGTAGCTAGTTCGTCATTGTTGATACCCAATTTTTTCCTCATATTTTTTAAATTGTATACACACACACACACACACACACATTCAAAATAGTATATTTGCATCATTATTTAATTTATGTAAGCATTTTCCATAATTTTTAGAGCTCTAAATTAATTTTCTTGCATTTTAATATCTAATAATTATCCTTTAAATTATCTTGCGATGACTTGGTTACATAAAATACATATTTTGCACCTATAATGTATGTTTCAAATATTTTATTTCATTACATGTAATTACACTAGCATTTTAAAGCTATTTTGTCTAGTTTTGCAATAATAGCCTATATTCATGTATAATTAGATTATTTATGAAAAAAATAACTTTTTATATTTTTATAATATTAAGTTATTATTTTTAATCATTTTAGTCTACAAATAATATTTTTGTTATTCATTAATTACTTTAATAAATTATTTTTGCTAAAATGTTGGGTATTTAAAAACTAGCCCCACACTAAACCTATTTTCGGACCAAACAATGGCCCAAAATCACCTAATACACCAGCCCAATACCCCTAGCCCAAACCAAACGACCCCTAACCCAAAAACCCGGTCGATACCCATTTCTTTAACCCGCCCCAATCCCGTTTTAAAATCTTGGCCATTGATCTCTAAGATCAACGGCCTACAGTTAACCTACCCTTTTTATTACCCAACCCCAAACCCTAATTCACCATTTCCTTTAAACCCGCCACCCTTAAACTCTCTCAATGCTCTCTTCATCTCTGTCAAACCCTAGCTGTCTCACCTTCAAATCCCCTCTCCTAATCCTGT